GAGGCCAGAACATAACCAGGCTCAGTAGGGCTGCTTGGCACAAGGAGGGGCCTTAGTAGTCCCCTCCCTACTGCCTCTGGGTTCACAGGCCTCAAAGCCCCTAGCATTCTGCAGTGCCCTATAGGTTCCTTCCAGAAACTTTGGGGGCTTTGTTTTTGTTTTGAGGTTGGTATTTGTGTGTGTGGTGTTTTTTGTTTTGTTTTGTTTTGAGACAGTGGTCTCCTGTAATCCAAGCTGGCTTCAATTTGCTATAAAACAAAGGGTGACATTGAACTCCTGATCTTCCTGCCTGTCTTCCAAATGTCACTATTAGAGGTCCTCACCATTATACCTGGCTTCCATTCCCACTGTTTGAACCCAGATTTATGAGTTCCAACTGTCTGACTTGCTAAATAAATGGTTCCAGTACCTCCTCACTTCTCATTTACTCTTCAGTGGTACTGGGGCTCAGAATAGAAGGTCAGCTGCCCCCAAAGGCTTAATGGGCTATGATTTTCTCCACCCTATCCTTGCTTCTATATCCAGGGATGGATATGGCCTCTTCCATTCCCACAAGAAGGCAAGAAGGCAGAAGAGCTCCTCCTACTAATTCTTTGATGGGGAAACTGAGGCACTGTAGTTGATGAATTTCCCTCTCCGCCCCACAGCAACTGAGGATGAGCTCCTACCTAAACACAGGGAGAATTTGGCGGGTCATTTCCCCAGACTAAGTGGGCCAAGTGGCCCAGGAACAAGCAGAGGGTAGGAGATGATAGGAGATGAGAGATGAAAAGGTGTGTGTGTGTGTGTGTGTGAGAGAGAGAGAGAGAGAGAGAGAGTCCTCAGACTGGGAACAGCAGCCACCTAGGGGATTAGCAGCCTATGAGCAGGGCACTGGTGGGATTAAAAATCCCCTTGGAGCCTGTAGAAGCTCTTTTCAAGGCTGAGGGAGGACTCTCTGGCCTCCTCTGTGGTCAGCCTCCTATGCTTGTGTTGAATGTGCCCCCCAACCCCCTGCACTCAGTGCACCCCTGTCCAGCACTGGGCCCTCTTCTGCAGATCAGGACCCACTTTGGCTACTGCCTTCTTGCCAAACTTCTGCCTCACTGACTGATATATCCATTCCTCCAACTGCACTAACTGACCATTCTAGCCCTGAGAGGCTGCCTCCAGCCCATGCCACCCCTAGCTCATCCTTCAAGCAGCCTGCTGCTCCAAAGAGTGATTCTAGGGCCAGGACCTTGGAAGGGAAGCTTCAGGGGCTCTGGCATGTTTTTAACAGGGAAGTTGTGTTTAGAGGATTTGCTCTGTATCCCCGCCCCCCACTTCCCACCCAAGTCGCACCCCACTCCTGGTGTGATCTCACTCCTATAGGCCTGAGGGCAGCTGGCAAGTAGACAGACCTAGGAGACAGACCCCCATTTGAATAAGTGATGAGAATAGCCCTTGGTTAGCAGCTGCCCCAGGTTGATATCAGCCCACCCAACAGATGGGCCAATCAAGGCAGAGCTGTGCAAAGACAGGAGTGTGATTTTTGCTTTGCTTCCTGCCATCTTGAGGGACACACAGTCTCAGTCAGCTTCCTTCCTAATAGTGGGACCTTCCTCTTCTGACATCTGTGCATAATACCCCCCTGCTCCTTTTGTCTCCTCCTATCTCTTTTGTGACCTACGCCCTACTGGGTGCCCTATGCCCACTGCCAGCTCTGCCCTCACCGCCGTCATTGTCTGAGGTATTTGAACCCCAGCAGCCAGCCTGGCTCTAGCTCTCCCCCACCCCCAGTCATCCAGAGTCCCTGAGGCCTCATTATTAGGGTAGTGGGGATCCCCCCCCCCCCCCAGTGTCTGGCCTTTCTGGGCCTGGCATGAAAGGTAGAGTTTTGGCAGAGAGCAGAGGCTCGGCCTGATTCCAGCTAGTTCTCTGCAGTGTAGATAGAGCCTGTAATGTGTTTGGGGCTAAGAGGCCTGGGGAGCCACAGGGCAGCCCCTGTCACTAGGACAACAGCAGGGAGCCCTGGAGGGGTCAGGGAAGGAGGAGAGCAGGTGGCTCTTTGTCTGGTGCCTGATCCCAACCCCTACTTCATCTTCCTCTGCAGGCAGCCCTGAGGAGGCCCCTGGGAAGGGATTGTGGGCTGTGTTCCCAGCATGTGCAAAACCACTGGGCTTCCTCCCCTAGTAAGGCAGAGGAGGTCCTCTGATATGAAGAGGACCCTTGAACCCTGCAGGACCCAACGGGCTTCTTCCCAGGGCCTACAACACAGTCCTGAGGTCAACATGGCATGAGCACAGTCAGGGCTAGGTTATAGGGTCCCCATGTAGAGAGTCAGGGCTGGTCCTTGTGGATTAGGGTAGAGATCTCCTGAATGGACTATTATCAGTTTCAACCTTTCCTCCCTCTGGTCCCCTCCCACTCTCCCTCTTCTTCCCTCTCTCTGCTCAGTTTCCATATCTAGAATCAAGGAGGCCAGACCAGCTCTGTTTGGACCCCTTTCCTACTGAAAAAACAAAAACAAAAACAAACCTTTTTAGGGGAGAACGGAGGGTTCCTGGAGCCCTATTTCTCTCTGGTTAAGAGTACCTGTTGCTCTTTCAGGAGACCTGGGTTCAATTCCCAGCACCCACATGACAGTTCATAGCTGTCTGTAACTCCAGGCACAAATGTGCTGCACAGATATTCATGCAGGCAAAAATCCATACATATAAAATCAAAAATAAATATATCTTTAAAAAAAGAAATTCTCTACAAAAAGAACATCAGTGTTTGGCTCATGAAAACATGGAAATATTAGGTGTTATAACTCTTTATATAAAATTACATTTAATCAGGCGGTGGTGGCACATGCCTTTAATCCCAGCATTCAGGAGGCAAAGACAGGCTGATCTCTGTGAGTTCGAGGCCAGCCTGGTCTACAGAGTGAGTTTTAGGACAGCCAGGACTGTTATACAGAGAAACCCTGTCTAGAAAAAAACCCAAAAAATAAAAAATAAAAATAAATTATATTTAGAGTATGGGTCTGGGTATAATGTTTCTGTCTGTCTTTCCATCTGTCTGTGTGCCACAGCACGTGTGAAAGTTAGAGGGCAACCTATGGGAGTCAGTTCTCACTTTTCTGCCGAATTAGTTTTGGGGATTGAACTCAGGTCATCAGGCTTAACTACAAGTGCCTTTACCTGCTAAGCCATCTCCTTGTCCACTCCCCCCCCTTTAAATCTATAATTAGCTAGGTATGGTGTCACATGCCTTTAGTCCCAACACCTGAGAGGCAGAGAGGCAGGGCTCTGTGAGCTCAGTACCAACCTAGTCTACAGAGTGAGTTCCAGGACAGCCAGGACTATAGGGAGAAACCCTGTCTCAAAAAAACAAACAAAAATCTGTTGTTGTTGTTGTTATTGTTGTTATTGTTATTGTTGTTACTAGTATTATTATTCTGTGGCAGGGGGCTTATGTGGAAATATCAGAGAATAGCTTTTGGGAGTCAGTTCACTCCTCCCTCCAGAGAGTAAAATACAGGTTGCTTAGCAAGGACCTGTTGAGCTATTTCGACAGCCCTAACATTTTTAGTCTTGAAAATCCTTTTGAGTTTCCTGAAATACTTGATGGTAATAAGCAAATAGGTGTCATGTACACCTGGTGCTGGGGAGGAGGGTGTGATCTGAATATGGGCCTTCTTAGAGTTTTCTCCAAAAGAGTTCTGGAGAGAGCTGAAGTGTCCCTGGATGTGACTTCTGGCCGTCAGTCTTAGATTGTCTAGAAACACTGTATGTAGAACCTGCTTTCCCCAAACAGCCTTTGTTAACCTTATCCAGAGAAACGGGCAACATGGGTTTGGCCTTCCAGCCACACCCCTATACATTTCCAAGGTCCATTGTAATTTAGTGCCCCTATCCCTAACTGGGTCAGGAGCTCCTTTGACCAGAGTGCTTTTGGTACCACAAGAGATGGGGTGTCATTCTCTGGCAGGGTACAGAGGTTGGGCTGTGGATGAGCTCTGTGGAAAAGGAGCAAAAAGGGATAAAGGCCTTTTCTCCCTGAACCGAAGAGGCTTCTCATGGAGAATTAGTACCTGTCTGTTCATCTGAACATCCCATTTATTCATCCAACAAATGTCGATTGAGTGCCCGTAAGGCAGACACCGTGACAGGAGGCACTGGCCTGGGAGGAATTGCAGCCCTGGGGTGAAGCAGAAGTAGCTACAGACAGGTTGGGTGGGAAGCCTGGCTGCTGTCCAGGGCACAGAGGAATTTCAGATTCAAGAGAATGGTGTAAGATGTCCATTGCCCACACAAATGCAGAAGCATACCCCCCACCCCCAAAACCAAACAACAGAGCACATATCTTCAGTGAGTCGGCCACCCATGGATGGGGTGTGAGTAGGACCCTGGGACTGTCCATGAGGAAGCTGGGTGTACCTCCTGCACAGAGGAGGCTCAGGTCCTTCTTTTGCTGTCCCAGAAGTCCTTTGTCTCCTCCACTTACTGAACTCCATCCCTGCTTTCCTTCCCACAATTAGAAGTGGAGGGGGAGGCCTGGAGGATAGTTGGGGCTGGGTTGTAGAGTACCAGTACCATTGAAAGGAAAATCAACTGGCCATGGTGGTGCACACCTTTAATCCCAGCATTTGGAAGGCACAGGTGGGCAGATCTCTGAGTTCGAGGCCAGCCTGATCTACAGAGTTCCAGGACAGCCAGAGTTGTTACACAGAGAAACCTTGTCTCAAAGAACTAAAATCATTATCATCAGCCAATTGTGGTGCATATGTCTTGCAGGAAGGTTACTTTTAGAAACAAAATAAAAGACCACAAGAGAGTAAAGGAGAGGGACTTTCTTCCTCCCTGTCTCAGTTTGCTTCTCCTTAGGAGGTAGTCAGATTGGATGATTCTGACTGTGTCTTTAGAAATGCCCCATGGGCCCCTGTGGGGAGAGGATGGAGGTGGGAGTGAGGGAGGTCTGGGCCCAACATCAGCACTGGAAGGGATGGTACCCCACTGACTCCTCTGCTTTCTGTGCTTCACCCTCAGTTTGACACTGGGAGCACCGGCTACATCAGCACAGGAAAATTCCGGACCCTCTTGGAGAGCCACAGCTCTAAGCTGGACCCACACAAAAAGGAGGTGCTGCTAGCTCTTGCTGACAGCCATGCAGATGGGCAGATCTGCTACCAGGATTTTGTCAACCTGGTGAGCATTCTGGAAGGGGTGGGGCTTAGACACTGGAAGTAGTTTTAGGCAAAGGGGTTTCTTGACTGACAGAATTTGAGCAGCTACAGCTTCAACAGGTGAGAAGACACCACAGTCACTGGGGGAAATAGCTCTCACTTCAACAGAGTAGGACATGGTTTGTTCTGGGGCAGTGTGAGTGACCATGGCCTGAAACCATGTCAAATACCATGTTTCCAGAACGAAGTTTCATAGAGGTTTTTATAGTCATAGAACAAAGAAAGTTATAAATCAACATGTTTTTACAAACACATTAAGTGTAAACTTCAAAGAGATGGGTTAAACAAGATGGCAGCCTCTTTCCTATAGACTTCAGATGCTGACACTGACACACACACACACATACACACACACACACACACACACACACACACACACACACCAACCTCAGATGCTGTCCAATAGCATTCTTAGCATTTGGATTGATGGAAGCTAAGTTAATAAATTCCAAAAGGGTTGGGTGTGGTGGCATATGACCTTAACCCCAGCAGAGGCCAGCTTGGTCTACATAGTGAGTTCCAGGTCAGCCAGAGATACACAGTAAGATCCTGTCTCAAAACAAAAATGAAAACAAACAAAATAAAAAATTCTATTAATCATAGCATAACTGGAGGTCAGAGCTTTTAGAATGCTAGTGATTGTCCCTGTTCATGGGATACATAGTGAGTCTTGCCTGTCGTCTGTTATCT